GCGTGCGTGCGTGCATGCATTCTTGCATGCATGCGTGAATGAACGAACGAACGAACGAACGAACGAACGAACGCACGCACGCACGCATGAATGAATGAATGAATGAATGAATGAAATTTAGGAATGTAGGAATGCAGGTATGTAGATATATATATATATGTGATGTATGTAATTTATGCAATGTATGTAATGTATGTAATGTATGTAATGTATGTAATGTATGTAATGTATGTAATGTGTAAATATATAATTATGTAATGTATGTAATGTATGTAATGTATGTAATGTATGTAATGTATGTAATGTATGTAATGTATGTAATGTATGTAATGTATGTAATGTATGTAATTTATGTAATGTATGTAATGTATGTAGTGTCTATAATATATGTAATGTATGTAATATATGTAATGTTATGTTATGTTATGTAATTAATGTAGTGTAATGTAGTGTAATGCACTGTACGTACTGTAGTGTATTGTTGTGCAATGTATTGTACTGTAACGTAATTTTAGGTAGGTATGTGTGTGTATGTGTGTATTATGTAATGTCATGTCATGTAATGCTATGTAATGTCATGTAATGTCATGCTGTCATGTGATGTCATGCAATGTGTGTACATGTATATATATATATATGTATATATGTATATATATATACAATATATACATATATATGATATATGTATAGATAGTGCTAGATTGTGCTGGTATGCGCGTCCTTGAAGTTTTCTATTTACAGTATGGATGGTGGATGGTGTTTTTTCTGTTCATCCTCTGTACCATCCTAAGTTGGTTACTGTGTTCGCAAGGGTCCCTTAGATATGAAATCATCTATAAAGTGTAATCCCATACCCTGGAAAGAAATCCCCCAGGATGGGCCTGCAAAGTGTTTCTGTATCCAATATCCAACATATACAAATACTGAATGCCAGGTAATACCAGTAAGCTCATTCCCCGTTCATATTAAATACCTGCGTATCGTCTGGTCCCAAATACGTATAAATCCATATAAATCCCTACATCCACCATGGTTCCCGGGGTGTGTTTTTCCATCATCAAACTGGTGCCCGGGTCCATGTGAAAAAGCCCAGTCTGGTAGTTTCTAGTTAACCAGAACTGATAGTAACCCAGTTTCGAGATAGAATGTGCTAACAAAACCCTAGGCTACTTATATGATGTCCATTGATTTCCCACATGGGTATGGATCAATACCTATTAATACCATTTTTAGGGGGATGAACATCCATCAATCCCAGAAATTTTGGGGTTCACTAGGAACCAGGGTTTTGACCCATCCCCACCATCTTTTTCAAAAGATGCCGATGTTCCCACCAAGCCACCAGCCGGCATCGAAAAGAATTCGATGACGGCTCCACTGACTCCACTGGCTCCTTTTTGGCCGAGTTTTTGGTCAGTAATGATCATAAGAAAAATATTGGTTAAATAAGAATAGTTGCTACAATATAAGAATAGTTAGTACATATTATTATACTAATATTAAATTAAATATGTCTTATATAACTAGTATCATACTATCATATTGGTCAGTTGAATAAGAACAGTCACTACAATATAAGAATAGTGCTAGGCCAAAACCAAGAATGCTTGTAGTATATCTATAATAGTCATAAGTTATAATGATGGTTGTAGTAACACCAAACATATATAATGGGATGTTATATATATATATCATATAACTATAGTGTGACCATAAATAGCAATAGTTATTGATTATAGTTGTTTTATTGGTATATTGTTTTGTGTGAAACATGTTTTGACAATAGGTGTCTGGCGATATGTTTGAACACAATATGTTTAGTCTTCAAAACAAAACAATAATACATAACGACCGGAGAACTGATATCTATGTAGTCTAATTATAGTGCAGTGTTTTTAACACTTACATAAATTTTATATATACCATAGTGTAACATTGTTTTTGTTCTTTTGATAAATTTGCAAAACAACAAATTTTGCAAACAACGTTTGTTGTTGGAGTCTTTTAGTCAGAATATACCAACACACACAGTCTGTTTGAAAAAATGAGTCTCTGAGTTCCTAGAATTTCAGCCTCTGGTAAGTTGAAATAGCTACGGAAAGTCACCACGGTTTTCCATGTTTCTAAACCAGTAAACCATCAATGGACCATGTTCCGCCCAGCCTGCAGGGGCTCTTCATGCAAAGTGAGCTCCTCGTAGGCGCGAAGAAAAGTTCTTTTGAAATGTGGGGAATCAAAGAAATATATACTGGATTTTATGGCATGGAATGGAAGTTTTTCATATCCAGAAAATTGTTCAGAAATACAGTCAATATCATGGAATGGAATTTGATGGAATTTGAATAGAAGATTATCATACTGTAATTATTTGGAATCGGAAGATCAAATATCAGATGGAGCCGATGCCATGACATTTGGTCATCCCCTGGATTCGTGTTGACTTCCACGTGCAGGCTGTTTGCAAAAGAAGGTCACGAAATGAGCTGTTTTTAATGGCTGCTGTTTGTTGATTGGTTATCATATTCCCAAGAGTTCTTTTTAGCGTCACTTCTCCAAAGTTACACGGTCATTTCACCTGCACAGCAATCCCCAGAAAGATAGAAGAGTGTTTCCGGGATGGTATAGATCCGGATAGATTCATGTATATATATATTCATTCATATTAATACACTAACCTGAAATAAGTATAAGATAGTTTGTTCGGTCCTTTTTTTAAGATCGTTCCCCAAAAAAATGTTTCCCCCAGATCTTCCAGCTGCCGGGTCTCTTGACAATCGAGAACTCTATAGCTACCCGCGGGCATGTCCTTGGTGGGGAGAAGCATCAGAAATCCGAAAAAACAAAAAGGGGATGCACAACTTTCCTTAGGAAATTGGGATGTTTATCACCATTTGATAGTTAGAAATTGCTGATATATGCTGATAGATGGTGAATTTTAAGATGAATTGGATAATAAGGAGACATATCATGTATATATATAGATATAGATATATATATATAATTATATATAATATCATATATCACCAATTTGATGACATTCAAATAAACCATCATTTTGTCAGCCATCAGCAGGCTCCGCCAAGTCTCAGCATCCCGTGTTAGGATGCAGCCCCGTCTAACGCAAGATCAGGTATGAAAAAACTTCAGCGGCGCGGAAAAAATGCACTGATGAGCTGGGGGTGAAAAGCTGAAACCAACAGCCACTGCCGGATTTCCCACTTTTTCAGGACTGGGGAAATCCCACCGTGACGGAAAAAACCCACCAGCCATGGAGGTTTACAGCGACAATCATCATCGAACTAGCCATGGTCGATTTTCGGTTGCCATCGCCAGAGTTTTTGAGGGTGTGGTCATCTACCCTCTGGTTATGACTAACAGTTTGCTATTGAAAATGGCCATTTCTATCCATTTATAGTAGATTTACCCATTGAAAATGGTGTTTTTCCATAGCTATGTTAGTTTACCAGAGGGTATCCCGTGCTATGGAAATCCACAAAAATCAGCCATGGTGCCATCCCTTGTTCGGTGCTATGACGATCAAAGCCTTGGAAATAAAAGTGCTGTGAAACCACAGCATTTTTGATGCCGAAAAACGATGGTAAACTGCTGGATGTTCATCCCTCAAAATATGATTCCATATATTCCATTATATTAAAATACTAGTAATATACGAGTGGCCTATACCTTTTGAAGCCATCCCGAAAAAAAAAAACTGAGGTCGACCAGTCGCTAGAACTGATCTTCAAATGGAAACCATTTTTGATATGGTGCTGGGTCAAAATTCCAGTAACATCAACATAGCAGGGATTTATGGATAGATTGGATAGTAATCCCCCCAATCATGGTCCAGGTTTTGAACCATACCCATAACTACCAGAAAATCATACCTCCAACCCCCATTCGCATCAACTTTTTCTCCACCAGATGCTGGCTGTCTTAAGCGCCTAGAAGGCGAGGTCTGTCCAATTGAACATGATTGGAGTAAAGCCTGGCTGCCATAAACCGTTTGGGGATGATAGATACCATCAGTTTATATCGAAAATTGTCATAGGGATGGTCTATTTATTGGGTTTACCATGGGTTTACCACATTAATTGTCCTTTGATGGAGCTTGACTAAGCATTCATTTCTGGATGGGATGGGAATACTCAGAAACGCGGTGAGGTTTTGCCAAAATTGAGCGGGAAATAGTGTTTTAAACAAGCTGTTCTATACTGATTTGTTCTATGTATATATATATATTGTGAATTATTGTGACATATTGTATATACCATAATATATAACATATTATTGATTTTCCTCTTGGATCCAGCAAGAAGGATTGCAATCCGGTCGCGGACTTCAATCATTTTAGAGTAAAAGTAATCTGGTAAACCCGATTTCATAAACCATCCCCAATTTCACCCTAAATGGGTGGTACAAACCATCCCCAAATGGTACGTCTATTCTAGGGTTGCCCGCATTACTGGAATATACCCAAATCAGGACCACTGGATTTTTCCGAATAAGATCGACGCCCGTCCACTTTGTTTGGTGTAGAATGCTTCCAAATCGCCTAAAATGTGCATGGTTTGACATCAAAAATCCACGAAAGGGTAGTTCCCACCTCCTTCGCCCTCAGTTTATTTGTAATGTGGTTAAAACAATAATAAACTACCTATTTGGGAATGGTTTATACATGTTTATACCACTTATTTATTGTGATTTGGGTGATGGTTTATTGTTCAAACCACATTACCAACTATTTTGGGTGCATAGTTCTTGTCCTATGCTGTCTGTTAAAGATTCCCATGGTCTCCCATGATTTCCCACGCGTGCTTTCCTCATTTTTTCGTGGCAATGGTGGTCCCATCCCTCATCCCTAAACAAAGCCATGTGCTTCGCTGTTTCTCGAAATTGACGAACCCAAACCAAGGGGAATTCGAATCCTACAACTGACGAATTTCCGGGAATTTCATGTGGTTGGTTCTGGGGGTAGCCGAAAATGGTGCGCGAGTGCCTTAGATGCGTACCGCTGCAGCATTGGCGCCCCCCGGGCGACGGCCCAGGAGACGGCCCTGGGGGCATGGGTTGGAACCCTTGAAAGGCTCAAAAGATTGGGGGTCAACACCCAAAAATTGGGAATTGTTTAGCTGCTTATGTAGCGCCCATCAAGGATTTAAGATGGCAGTATGATTTACGAAATTTCACCTGATTGAACATGATTTAACAGTTGCATGACTTAAATTCACCCATCAAAGAAGAGGACTTAACTATACTTAACTCATCTTAACTCCCTAATTTTGGTGATTGACTCCAAATTTTGATGGGTATATATATATATATTATATATATGGGTCTATATTTTTCGTGGTTGAATCAGGCCTGGGCGCCCGACCAGTTCGCCCGTGCGGCCAGAGTCCTTGGCGATCACCGCCAAGTTGTTCAAACAATGCCTTGGCTGGAAAAGGCTGGCAAGGTTTCTCTCTTCCGCCCATGTCGATTATGTAGGGTAAAAAAATGGAGGTGAATTGAAGTGAAACTGCAGAAAGTTGCAGAAAAAATTGACCATGGCGCTTTGAAAGAAAGTAGAGACGTAAAGAAAATGATTATGTAGAGAAGTGAAGAATGTAGAGACATGAAGAAAATAGCGAAGTGATGAAAGTAGAGAAGTGAAGACTGAGAGGCAGAAGTCAGCTTCAAAAGAGGACGGTGCTTTGACGAGATCATCGACAACGTCAGTGGGTCGACTCGGCGGTCATCCACCAGCGCAGCAAGGACATGTCAATAGAAAGAGATGTCAGGAGAAAAAAATGCCAGGAGAGTGAGATGATAAACATTCAGACCTTTCAAGAGAAAAAACATCAAGAGAAAGGGACCTCAATAAAGAGGTCAGGAGAATGAGATGTCAAGATTCAGAGCTATCAATGCAAGGGATGTCAAGATTGTCAAGGGAAAACCGGATCAAGAGAAAGTGGAGACATCAGAAAAGGATGTCAAGAGAAAGATATGTCAAGGAGAGAGAGGCGTCCAGACAACAGTTGCCCCGAGAAAGGGGTGTCAAGAGAAATGGATGTGAAGAGAAAGAGGTTCCAAGAGAAAGAGATGTCAACGGAAATGAGATGCCAAGAAAGTTGAAACAGACAATGGCTTTGGGATCCAGGTGGTGTTTACAAAATGTGTTCAATCGGAAAAATGGTTGGTAAACAGGGCCGCGAGTGGTGCGACTTTTTTCCCTCCACCGATCCATTTGACCAAACATAGAAGGCCTGCTGAGATGCCCCGTGGGGCTGAACCATTCAGAGTTTTCCAGATTTTTCCCAGGTAAAGTTGCATTGAAATATCCCTCGGTTGGCAAATAGTGAATAATCAATATAACCACATATTTTTTGGGTCAATCCACTTGTTTGCTGATGATGTGTCCATGCTTGATGGCTGTGTCTGCTGGGGATACCCTCCATGCGAAGCCACGGCTTCGTTTCCTAAGGGCTCCGGCAGTGTGGTGGGGTGATTCGGTCCCAGTGTCGATTCGGCGATCCTGGCGACCGTATGAGTTGAGGCCCGGGAAAGGAAAACATGGTATCGGGTTCTCTTTGGTACCAGTATTGTGGTAAACCATATATATATATTCTGATATATATAATATATTATATATTATATATTATATATTATATATTATATTATATATTATATAATATATATATATATATTGTATATTATATTATATATTATATATTATATATATTGTATATTATATTATATATTATATATTATATATTATATATTATATATTATATATTATATATTATATATTATATATTATATATTATATTATATATTATATATTATATATATATTGTATATTTTATATTATATTATATATTGTATATTATATTATATATTATATATTATATATTGTATATTATATATTATACATATTATACATATTATATATTATGTATTATATATTATATAGTATAAGTTATATATTGTATATTATATATTATATATTATATATTATATATTATATATTATATATTATATTATATATATATATTGTATATTTTATATTATATATTATATATTATATTATATATATATTGTATATTTTATATTATATATTGTATATTATGTATTATACATCATATATTATATATTATATGTTATATGTTATATGTTATATGTTATATATTATATATTATATATTACATAGTCTATATTACATATTATATATTTTGTATTATATATATTGTATATTATATATTCTATATTATATATTATATATATTACTGTATATATGTCCACTACCCTTTGGTAATTTGTTACACTTTGCCATGGAAACCTTGGCCCATTTACTTCGATGAATATTTGAACCGTTTTTAGAAAATGGCTTTTATGTGGGTACCCTCTGGTAATTTAACAGTTCGCAATGGAAAATCACCACTTTTTAATAGGTAAATCAACTATACATTTTCAATAGCTATGTTAGTTTACCAGAGGGTATATCCCAATTCCTTTATGGTCTGCATGAAGCTATATCATGATTATCATGCTATATCTCAAAAGAAGGGCCGCTCACTCAGCCAAACTCCAGGCATCTAAAAGTTTAAACTTTTTACCCAAAATAGCTGTGCAAGTCTCACCTCGCACGTGCCACATCTTTTAACACTGGAGGGCTAAGGGCTAAGGGCTAAAGGTATCACATTTTCGCCCCTTGAAAATCAAAACAATGGCGTGAGGTTTGTAATGGGGCTTATGGCCGGAGTTCTTGCAGTATGAAAATGCGATGTTTTCACCTTTGTTTGAAACTGTGTCTAAACTTGTCGTGGTTTGAGTTTGGCAAAGTATGTCAGAGCAATGGCATGCAATGGCCTTGAAATGCCATGTTGGGGATCAATCGAAATAAACAAATGTTTTAGCCGAACAGCATGTTCCGAAATCTGCAAAAAAAATATTGAACATGTTGGCTGGGACCAAGAAGGTTTCAGGACATCGTTTCGCGCGAACGCGTCTGGTTGTGTTGGCTCGGAACATAGGTTTTACTATCCCGTGGGCGAAGTTGAACCAGGTATGCTCAGAACAAACTTCCAGCACGGACTCCTAATCTTACCTGGGTTGCAAAAAAATATTTTGTTTACTCTGTATATCCCCAAATTAAACCTAATCCTCCACAATCACTCACGCCTTGGCCGAGCTGGTAGCCTGGCGTCCAAATCCAACAGCGATGCTCGGCACAACTTTCTTGCAATGCTCGGTCCAAATTCAACCAAGAACCAGGATGCCTTTTTTCCCCACTGCTGACGACATACCGGCTGATCTTCGCAAACTGCAACTGGTGGCAACGATACCTCGCTCATGTTCTTATCTACTTGCAAAATAGATGCGCATATTATGCCGCATGTCTTTTGTATGAGCTATCCTGCTACTTTTTGAAATGGAAGGTTGGATAGCTACTTTGATTCCCCACCTGCCAGGTGAGAGTTGTTAGATTTTATCAGAGCTGTTCGCCTCCTCCTTCTCCTCCTCGTCCTCCTCCTCCTCCGGCAAGCTCTTCGCCAAGCTTTTCGCCAACTCTTCGCCAAGCTCTTCGCCAAGCTCTTCGCCAACTCTTCGCCAAGCTCTTCGCCAATGTCTTCGGCAACTTCCGTGCGCAGTGGGCACTGCTGCACCTCAACTGCCGGCTTCCGATCTGAGTGGGGCACCACTGGACCTCAACCTGGGACCTTCCGAGCCCAGAGCTCAGTCGGTTCCGAGCCCAGTGGGCACCGGTGGACCTCAACCCGGGACCTTCAGAGGTCAGTGGGCACCACTGGACCTCGACCTGGGACCTTCCAGAGGTCAGTGGGCACTTGTGGACCTCAACGGCCAGATAGAATGCCAGAAGATATGCCAGATATAACGCCAGACAGAATGTCAGATAGAATGCCAGAAGATATGCCAGATAAAATGCCAGAAGATATGCCAGATAGAATGCCAAAAGATTTGCCAGATAGAATAGAATGCCAGAAGATATGCCAGATAGAATGCCAAAAGATATGCCAGATAGAATGCCAACAGATATGCCAGATAGAATGCCAGAAGGTATGCCAGATCGAATGCCAGAAGATATGTCAGATAGAATGCCAGAAGATTTGCCAGTAACAAAACGTATAAATGTCATGGTGGGGATCACTCGAAGTAAAGTAATTTGATTTTTGAGCGAAGTAGGTGCAATTACGGCAAAGATTCAGGCGAAGGAATTTGCGAGCAACACGCGCAAGAACCTCAGCATTTGCCGAGAACCAGTTTCTTGGGAAGTTTTCTGATGGATAATGCCTTCTATAACGTGCAATAATAAACACGGATCGGTTTCAAAGAACCATCAAAAAACATGCGCCCTCACGCTGCGATATTTGGAAATCTAATCATGCGGCCGGACAATTTCTACTCGTACAATAGTCCCAAAAAGTAAACTTCAAATGGCAGAAATGCAACCTGTTGAGAAGTGACTGTACAGACTCTATAAGGCTGTGACAGCCATTTAACTATTAATTATTGCAGTAGATGTATTTCTCGATGGTTGATGGCTGTAGAAATCACAGGACAAGCGCTGGCGTATTTTATTTATAAGGAAACTAGTTGCCGACCTCTCGGTGTACTGTAAGTTTTCCTGCTTAGGCCCTTGCCTAGCGAAGCCAGGCGCAGCTCCTGAGCAGCACCAAAAACCCCAAAAAAGTCACTCGAAAGCTTTTCTGATGATCTGATGAACATTCCAGCATCGCAGGTTTGCCAGCTCTCTTTTTTCCGTCGTCATCATCATCATCGTCATCATCGTCATCATCATCATCATCGTCGTCATCATCGTCGTCATCATCATCATCGTCATTATCATCATCGTCGTCGTCATCGTCGTCATCATCATCATCGTCGTCATCGTCATTCTCATCATCGTCGTCATCGTCATCATCAACACCATCATCACCATCATCGCCATCATCATCATCATCATCATCATCATCATCGCCGCCATCATCATCATCATCATCAGCATCATCATCATCATCATCCTTTCACCACTCCCTCTGTGGCTCCGCAGGTTGCGGGGCTGTCGGCGGTCTTCTGGGCCGCAGAGTCAGTTGAGAATAAGGGCGCAGGGCACATCCAGGCACCCGCCACCTCGGTGGTTGGATTCTTGGGGGCCAGTGGGGTGTTGGGGGTGCAGATTGTTGCAGGTTGAGTTACCGTTTATTATTGGTACAATCTACATTGTTGATTGCTGGGTTATTGTTGTGAAGGTGCAGATTGTTGCTGATTATTACTGCTACACCAGTTTATCTATTAGTTGTTTAATACCCTCTGGTAAACTCACATAGCTATGGAAAATCACAATTTTTAATGGGAAAACTCACTATAAATGGCTATTTTCAACAGCTATGTTAGTCATTACCAGAGGGTAATCTACGGGGGTGTTACTATCTACAACTTGTAGCTTGGGCCCATCGGCATCGATGCCTCGCCAGGAGATGGCTTGTGGCATCGGGGTGCATCTGTGCCTCGACAAGGTGCGCCACGTGTATTTTGTGTGATCCTCATTCAAAAAACTATACCATATATTCAAATATATATATATGTGTGAACTATATATATATCTGTTAACTATATATATATATATAACTATATATGTATACATAACAAATGAATTGATTATATAAATCTTTACAGTACACTCCAAATAGATGGAAAAGATAAGATGATCATCATCACATTTATTGGGTGTTTCTATCGCTTTGAAGAATACTATATGTATGCATACATACCTTGACATGTAGAGTTGTACACGTAGATGTATTATCCGATACAGGCATATTTTACGATATAGACATGTTACAATATGTTTGGACACACTTGTCCACATATATCATAGATGCCAGCGACTGGAAGATGATGTGGGAACAACATGCCAAGAGGCCATTCGATGCCGATTTGCTTCCGGTGCCTGATCTATAAGTGTCGAAGAAGCCTCAGTTCCATTTATTATCTATTGGATAATCTCATGTTTAGCTGCAAGTGCAGGATCATTTATGAACCATTGTGAAAATCACGCATATTTTGCTGTTATTACTAAAGTTTGTATGGTTTGTTTTCAAAGGAAAACTCAACATGCTTCTTGTGAGTCAAGTTATCGGGGATCCGAGACTGTGTACATATATGTGTATAAAATACACACAAATTCACAGAGGAAATGGAACAGATGATATAAGCACCCATTATATATATACATATAGAGACCGGAGCAAGTTGAGCAAGTTAGATAATGGGAACTAGTTCATGGGAAAAATGTCGAAAACCAACGACAAGTGGTCGGAGGAGGTCGGAGGTCTTCATAGTTTGTTATCAATCCTTAAACAATGGGATAGGGATGATGATGCCAGGTAACTCTCAGATGTTTTATAAATGACCCTCCAAAAGGTGTCCCTTGCGTTGTTTCGTGCAGGATCGTGTTGGAAACTGCGTTCCAACATGGAAAGGCCTTGCGGATATTTTTGGTACACAGTAATT